AGGACACCTGCCTCACCCTCAAATCTCAATATTTCAGGTCTAGGAGTGCCTGGGTGGCTCAGTCAGTTGAGCGTCCAACTCTTGATTTTGGCTCAGGTCATGATCTCGGGGTCATGAGATTGAGCCCTGCATTGGGCTCTGTGCTCAGCAAGGAGACTGCTTGGGATTCTCTCTCCCTCTCCTTCTGCCCTTCCCCTCCTCCCCCTGCATGTGCTCTCTCCCTCTCTCTCTCTCAAATAAATAAATCTTTTAAAAAAAAAAAAGGATCTATCAGTTCTGCAGCAGGGCTGCAGTCATTTGTTAAGTATATTGCCAATTATGAGATTATTTGGTTCAATGTTTGGCACATATTCAGACACAACTCTTTATATACCCCTTGCTGTATGTTCAAGCACATCACTTCAATTAGACCAGCCTCATCAGAAGAGAACTCCCTAGTAACCAATGAAGAAATATTAATGATTTGCCAGTTTGGTTCCTTGGAGAGAGGGAACCCCCCCTCCACCTAGCTTATATTTGGCACTTTATCAAGCAGCTACGGGTGAACAAGTAAATAAGCCCTGTTTCTACAGTGCCTGAGGATACATGAAAATAATTTGTTCTCTTAAGTGGATTCAATAATTCCTCCCTGAATATTTCATTACCTGATAGTTTTGTAAAAAATTTGCTTTTCCTTCACAGGGAGGGCAAGTGTAAACCCTGAGTATATGTAACTGGTGGTTAAGAGTCCAGCTGCCTAGTTTGAATTCCATTTCCACCATTTACAACAATGCAGTGGAAAGGAGGTTTGGGCCCATCTCCATGTCTCTGTTCCTCATCTGCAAAATGAGGTTACTGACAATCCTCTAAGTCTGCAAAAATAACATTTTAAGCAGTTCCTGGCAATAGTAAATGCTCAGTAAATATTAGCCACTATTATATAATCAAAAGGGGTGATTATTCCAGAAGAACTGCAATTTTTATATATAAAAGTTAATCAAACTCGGCCATAAGTTGTTAATATTACTCAGCCATAAAAAAAAGAATGAGGTGTTGTCATTTGCAACAACATGGATGGACCTAGAGGGTATTATGCTATATGAAATAAGTCAGACAGAGAAAGACAAATACCATATGATCTCACTGATATGTGGAATTTAAACAAAACAAAACAAATGAACAAACAAACAGAAACAGACTCATAAATACAGAGAACAAACTGGTGGTTGCCAGAGGGGAGGGAGGTGGAGGGATGGATGACACAAGTGAAGGGAATTAAGAACAGAAAAAAGTTAATCAAACTGTTCAAAAGATAGAAATTGCACATTCTAATACATTCCATGAAAGGGGAAATCAAACTGTTTTTGCTTAAGGTATATGCCTCCTCTTCTACCCCAATATCTGTGTAATTCTTGGCATGTACTTTGTTGACTGAATGAATAAATGAAAAATTGATTAATTCTCATCATATCCCTCTTGTTGTTTTCAGGCAGGCCTGAATATCTCCAGGAAGGCTGTTTGCTTTAAGAAATAGCCAGTGAGGGGGGTGCCTGGGTGGCTCAGTCTGTTAAGTGTCTGACTCTTGATTGTGGCTCAGGTCATGATCTCAGGGTCCTGAGATCAAGCCCCATGTCAGGTTCCATGCCCAGGCTCTCTCCCTCTCCCTCTGCCCTCCCACCCTCCTTTCTAAAAAAAAAAAAAAAAAAAAAAAAAATGAAAGAAAGAAAGGGCAAATCAGTGAAGGGTTATGAGAAATATTATGGTTTATGTTCTGTATGTGACTCAGTAGTCAAAATTAATTGCTTTTCTGTCATGTTCTTCATGGATTTTCATTGATCCTTTTGTGTGAAACAAAGCTTGTTGGTTGCTTTAGACCTGTAATAATGATCACGGTTTTTAGCACTTTAATAAAATGATAGAAGTGTGTGTGTTTGTGTCTGTTGTGTGTGTATGCACACATGAGAGAGAGAGATTTTAAACAATCTTTTTATTTGTATGTTTCAGTGGTGTCAGTTTTCATGAACTTCACTATAAAAATTAAAAAATAATTTCTCTATAAAATTCAAGAATATAAATGCCACCTTCCTTGGTAGTATTTCTGAGAATTGCAACTGTAATAATTAGATGTAACTTTTCTGCTATGTTAAGAGAAGACAGATGTCCTTTTCTTAAGAATTCTACTTAACTTTCTGGCAGCTGGGTGGCTCAGTCGGTTAAGCATCTGCCTTCGGCTCAGGTCATGATCCCAGGGTCCTGGGACTGAGCCCCATATTGGGCTCCTGCTCATTGGGGTGTCTGCTTCTCCCTCTCCCTCTGCCTGCCGCTCCCCGTGCTTGTGCTTGCTCTCTCTGTCAAATAAATAAATAAAATCTTGAAAAAAAAATTCTCCTTACCTCTCAGTGTTTAGATAAATTTCAAATTCTGGTTTGCCTTTTCTACTGGTCCTGAATTTATTGTGGCTTAAAAACTTTAGATTGCCCTCAAATTTATCAAGCATGCCACTCACTTCTTGGTGCAATCTCCAGACTCACAAAGCCTGATTCTCCATCTCCCCCATCACACATAGAAGTGGAGCTGCCAAGGCTGTGGGAAAGAATGAAGAACGACCATTGGTTCTATTTTCTGGCAAAACAAACAGCAGACAGTCATTTCTGAGCCACCTCAGCTCCCCTGGAGAGTTCTTGTTCAACCAGGCTGAGGGCCTAATGGCTTTCTAACTGCCTGGTCATATCATGGACATCTTGGTCTGTTCCCATATTTCAGTATACTTTCTTCTTCTAACTTCTTTCCTGCACATCTGTTCCGATTGTTTGCAAAATTTCTTATTCCTAATCTTTTTTTTCTTCCTTTTAGGTTCATGAGGGGTAATCTCACTAAAATCCCTGTTTTTAAATACCATAGCTGTCTCTCGAGGGCCCCAAGTGCACACCATCAGGAAGCTTCTTATTCGCACAAGAACCCAAACATGGTCTTATAACTAGAAAAGTTACAATTTCTACAATTGTAGAAAACAATTCTATTCTTTCACATGGCATATTGTTTCTCCCAGGAGCAAGCTTATGCGTCGTTGGCCGCTCCTTCCAATGCACACGTTCTGGTTTTCCATTATAGCACTAGTACAAAATATTAACAGCACTTTTTCTCTGTGGGCTCCCTCTGATTTCTGAATCACTTGAGAACAAAAATCCTGTCTTTTCATGAAAGTATGTTAGGTATCTATCATAGTATATAGTAAGCAGTCAAAAAAAAATGCCATGTAAAGAAAGTAATGCATCTACTTTCAATAAAAGCATTGTTACCATCTTTTTTCTATAAAAGACATGTTTCAATTAATTACTTTATAAATGAACTACTTATGGGCAAATTCATAAAACAGGAAGTAGATTAGCGGTTACCAGGGGCTGGGGGGAGAAGGAAATGAGAAATTATTGCTTTGAGGGTACAGTTTCTCTTTGGGGTGATGGAAAAGTTTTGGAATTACTGTGGTGATAGTTGCACAACATTGTGAATGTAATTAATGCCACTAAATTGTATATTCAAAATGGTTAAAATGACAGGTTTTATGTTATATATATTTTACCACGATAAAATTAAAAAATGAATTATTCACAAAAAAGAAAGGCGCTAAAATAATCGAGATAACTAAATGCGTATTTTCTAAAAAGAAAAGCTTCTTTTCTAAATAGAAAATTCAGAAAAGGAAGCCCAGTAATTAGTCTTAGAAACAAATACAATTGTAGCAATACTTTTCTTTCATGTATTCTCATTTAAGAAATATATTACTACAACAAAAACCATCATTAAATAATTCAATGAATTTTAAAAGTGAATAACTGAATGGTTAAAAGAAAGCACCATTTATTTTTTTAATATTTTATTTATTTACTTCAGAGAGAGCAAGAGTGAGAACTAGAGAGAGAGAGAAAGCAGGAGACAGAGAGAAAGAGTCTCCGGGAGAAGCAGATTCCCTGCTGGGCAAGGAGCCCAACGCAGGGCTCAATCCCAGGACCCTGGGATCAAGACTTGAGCTGAAGGCAGCTGCTTAACTGACTGAGCCCCCCAGGCGCCCCAAGAAATCACCATTTAAATAAACAAACCTCTATGGTTGAATGTCTGGGTATAGCCAGGCCGGGTTTACCACTGTGACCACAGACAGACATTATTAGTGGGTCAAAATGGTCAGCTGTCCACATGCACGGGAAACAGACATAGACACGTCTGTCATGCATTTTTGATAGGAAGCACTGCCAAGTTTAATAGTCCTAAGACTGACGGGTCGGACAGACTGGATTTGTGCCTTGGATCTGCCTCATATGGGACAGTGTAAGACTTTAGTCTCACTGAACCACAGGTTTCTCATCTAACAAATAAAGGGGAAAAAAATCCAGTATCATGTCATTTTTGTGAAGGTGAAGAGGGACTGGTTAAGGTTTCATGCAGTTCTTTACTGGCATATTATTAACATAGAGGTCCAGATAAATTTATATTGAACAAGTAATTATTCTACATAAAATATGATGAGTTCTGAAAATATATATTTTTTTACTTTTTTATTGTTATGTTAATCACCATACATTACATCATTAGTTTTTAATGTAGTGTTCCATGATTCATTGTGCATAATACCCAGTGCTCCACGCAGAACGTGCCCTCTTTAATACCCATCACCAGGCTAACCCATCCCCCCATATTCTTTGTGTGAACTTTTTTTGTTTTTTTACTTTTCTTTTCCCATTTCTTTTTCTTTTCCATTTTGCCAAATTTATACTTAGCATACTTGGTAATTAATGCAATATTATTTCATTTAAAGCTCCAGGCCATTAGAAGATACGAGTCAGTGTTCAGAGCACCCCTAATTGTGGGCAATCTGTAAATTATCTGTCTCAAAAAATGATTGTTAAAATAAAGACATATTCTTTGCCTTGAAAGGTCTGTCTTAGAAGCATTGAATTCTGTGTGGGATTTTTTCTAATCTTTTCTCTTTTTCTGTTTCTCTTCCTCACATGCTGACTTTGGTGTAGCAGACCACTTGGGGATTGAATTCATGGGTAAGACTAAACAATTTGTTCCTTAAATATCCAGAAAAAGCTAGGTTTCATAATGTATATAGTATTCTCCTTCCCCATCTGATTATAATTGAAATGTCTCATTATCAGATGCTGTTAGTAGCAAAAAGTGTTTTTGTCGATTTTTGACTAAGTAATGGCTCAAAATGAAAGACTTAATTACTTATTGGGAAGGCAATTGAATGTTAAGTGCAGTTCTGGAATCATAGAGGTTGGATTTGGCTCCTGGCTGTGTTTGCTCTATTTCTCAATTTTCTTATCTGTAAAATAGGGATGATAATAGTTCCTATTTTACTGCACATGTAAATTGCTTAGCACAATGTCTACAAGATGGTAAACACTCAGTAAATTATTGAAAATAATAGTGATGGCTTAAAAATGTTAGTTTTGTTATTTTCTGCTCTAATTCATTTTCCTTTTGCATGATGATTACCTTGTATACATTTTAGTATCAGTCAATTTGGAGTATGAGCTATATAAACATTTCCATTTACAAAATTAAAATATTTCTTGTGAAAGTAGTTGCAGTGAATGGTATATTTTTAAAAGCATTAGGATGTCTTCCACAGGATTATTATTATGTTCAGGAACTATTATTGTTGTTGTTATTATTATTGTTATGTTCATAGATAATTACATTAAGAATTGAACATACTTTCCTGAGTCTATTTCATAAGTAAAATAAAAAATAAAAAAATGAAAACATTCTATGGGTTTGATATACATCGTGGTGCTAAAATGGAGCGATACTCAGGAGTTAAAGTGAGTGAAATTGAGAAGACCTAAACTTGAAATCCAAATTAATAATTCTTTGCTTCTTTGGCTTTTGTTGAAATTCATATTTTTCTCTTATATAATACAGATATTAATACTTCATATGTGAATATGGTTATTGTGATAATATTTGTTTAATTGTATTCATTTATCTATTCACCCATTCATTCAGCAAATAATTATCAAGTGCTCACTATAAGCAAAGAAAAAATGCAAAATATTAGAGATAAAAAAATTGTAAAAATGGACAAAAAAACTGGTCCAATGACACTTACAGTCTAGTAAGCTTACAGATAATAGGTAATAAACCATCAGATATACAGTTGAGATTTTCCTAAGACCTATTTCAGGCAAGATGATATTACCTTGGACTAGTGTGATTGTGGAAGATATGGGGAAAATGATAGATATTTAGGACATGGTATCAACAAGTATTTGAGAAGAATTAATGTTGAAGGTTAGAAAAGGGAGATTATCAAAGATGATGCAGGGTTTATAGTTTGCCTACTTAGATAAAAGGTGGGCCCATTTACTGAAAAAGAACACTGGAAGAAGAACAGATTTATGGGAAATGTTTTACTAGATTAGGTTTGGAAATGTTGAGTTCCGGGTACCTCTGATATATTGAGAGAAGATGTCAAGTTTGTAGTGTACTGCTGGAAGTTTTTAGGGTTGATTAGAGCTTAGTGATGTAATATTTATACTGGAATTGATCTTCCCTGTTATGTGGTATTTTTCATTAGTGTTCTATTATCTGGGTATTATATCATAGAAAAAGCAGACAGCTCAATTCCTGCAGGCTTGGGGTTTTGCTAGAATAGATGAGATGAAAAATCATAAGGGCAATGAAATTCAGGATAATATTCAAATGAAGCATCATGGAATGTAAGGTAGATGTGGAAGGAAGTGACAAAAGGCTAGCTACCTGAATGTAATCGATGAGTAGTTATCATGTGAGTACTCAAGCATGTTGGTGGCATGGGGAGGAGATTATAGTCATATGAGTCAGAAATTACAGAAAATTATGGGCAGGGTCATGTAGAAGAGTATAAATTGTGAGAAGGATACGTGGCTTGTACTTTCCTCATTTACCAGTGATGGTGGGGATTAAGAACATGGAAGTCTGAGCATCAACAGTCATTTTGTGGATAATGGGTACTGGATCTAGTGGATACAGAAATTTGCCCCCACTGGATTGTGGTGATTGCAGACTTTGAGAATAGAGGTTCCAGAAGTTATGTAACAGAATGACTGCGTATATAGGAAACACCATATAGCTGGTAGGTGGGGCTGGGATAGCTTCAGACTCCACAAGTGGTATGGCTATGGCTAGGTAAACATAACTTGCTGCACTGATGTTAATTTAACTGTTAAAAAAAATGGACCCATCACCATTCTATTGGGCTTTTCCTGAGGACCTCCAGTGACATGGTTACATTATGGTAACCATTTTGCTAGGTCACCAACATATGTATTAAAAAGTCTGTGTTAAAACATTTACAAGACTTCAGTTACTGGTAGGTGAAAAATAATAGGTAATTGTGTAGTTCATCTATATGAATCTCAAGACTAAGGTTATAGTGAGTCTTGCAAAACTTGGTGTCAAATCGTAGCTATAAAGCCTTATAGGAAATGAGTTCTCAGTGTGTGAATATTTCACTCCGGCAGTAGAGATTGCCTTGTACAGAAGGGGTTGAGCAAGAAGTCACAAGGGAATATGTAGCTTGTATACAGATAATGACAACTAATGAAGGCTTGTTTGAAATGGTGAATAGGTTAGTGAATGAACTGTTTCCACTGAACTTACTAGTTCCAGAGAGTGTTCACTCCCACCAATATTCTAACTGAATATATAAAATTCTGTTTGTTGCTTTGGGAACATATGTTTTCAGATTTAACTTGTGATTTTAGAGTCCATATGGGTAAAATTCCTTCCGCTGAAGGTTACTACCTTACATGCCAGTAATATGACCTCTTTAGCATAAATACAGCTGGGAAGCAGAAATGTAGGCATAGTCTCTATAAACTAATCATGTCAGTATATTGGAGTACCTAAAATGATCAGCGTCAGCTCTGTTTTAATGAGTTCTAGAATAGCTTTCTTTTCAACTTTCATCATTCTTACTTTGGGCAATGTTACTTTCATCTTTCCTTGAGTTGGGACTCAGATCACAGAATGATGATATGAAGCACACAGCTCTTTTCCCCAAGTCTTTGTATTCCCAGTGGCCAAGTCTATTTTATTGATCAGACTCAAAAGCTGAATACTTTGTGCAGTTTAATAAATTCCTATTTAAAGCAGGAACTCCAAATCATATGACTCAACAAGAATCCTATTATTATTTAATCAACATACACTTCTCACACTTACTGTATGCCAGATGGATAAGGTACTGAAGATGCAGATTAATGCCCAAAGGCTCTGAGACTGAAAAGAAAGAAAGCTACACATAACTGAGGTAATATTAACAGGTGCTATCAAAATGACATAGGCAAGGTACAATGAAGGAAAAAGTGAATTTTAAAAAAAGCATCTAAAGGTGTTTGGGAAATTCAGAGACAGCTTCCTGTGGGAGGAGACATGTAAGCTGAGTACTAGCCAAAGTGGATAAACTGTATTGAGTGATACCATAGTCCAAATCTGTCCCAGCTCTGTATTTCTTCCACATTAGGGTGAGCCTTGCTATTTCAGTCTCTCTATCTGGGTCCATAAGCTACCTAGAGTCACTGCTTTAGGACCAATGAAAGCATATCAACTTCAGTAAAAACACTTAACCAAAAAGCTTTTCTGAGTCGATTTATTAATTTCAAGGAATAATTATCTTATCATATAAGCCATGCTAAACCTAATGACCATAAAACTGTCAACATTCAGAAGGATTTGTCCTTAATTATATTCATGAATTTTTCTTAATGATGCTTCTGGGACCAAGTACAATGGACATATCAACAACAAATACTGCCCTGGAATACGGTATCAGTTTAAAAAAATAAAGTTAATTGATTTAAATAGGGCAGGAATTTGAAGGTACATGAAAACACAAAATTGTGTTTGTGAAAAAAATGTAAAATCAGAGTTTATATTAAGTCAGTAATCAAAAATATTTCTTGAATTAGTGACAACCTACTCAGCATGCATGCATGAGGGAAAATTGAGATTTTTAAGGTCAGATGTTCCAGTTTTCCACACAGGGTGAAAAGATCAGGAGATGGAGTAGACACACTTCACCCTAAGCACAAACACTCATTGAGAAATCCACCCGAATGTCCAGAGGAGACAGATGGCCTAAGGGCATGTCAGATTGGCCAAAGTTTGGAAGGCACATTGATCATGAAGAGGGATTTCTCATCTGAGAAATATCTCACTGTAGTGTCAGGTGCTCAGTCATGGAGCGTATCTCATTATATCCATTTGAGCTCTTTGTTATGCGGCTATTTCTTTGACAATACCCTGATGCATTGGATGTTGTAGGCATCAAAGATGTTTGTATAAAAGCAGGTGCAACGCCACTTGCAAATATATTAGCAAACCACAGGGAGAGCTGAAGATTGTGTGGGAGATCTTTCATGCAAATTTCTTTCATTTTCATATGGAGAAATAAAAGGAACTCTGTCAGTTAAATGTCTTGTTTGTGATTTGACATTGTTTTAAAGATAACATAATATATTTATGCAGATTTTGATTGAGTAAACCCTAGTATAATTTTTTAAATCAAAAGGTTTATAGAACTTGGGAAAAGGAGATTTTTAACTAAAATCTGAAAAAGTCATTCTAGAATAATCTCTGTATTTTGAAGTTAAAAAAGCAAAAAGAATGAAATTCTGGGTTTGCTATAAGGAGAGGCTTAGAAATGTGTTATATTCAAACTCTGTGGTCTAAAATATGTGTATAGTTTTAGAATTGATAAGGTCATTATTTCAAACTTCACCATATATTGAGCATCTCTTCATTCTGTCATGTAAAATAGTTGTTTTAGTATATTTTAGTAAAAACTGAAGATAATCTCCTGAGAAGTGTCTAGTTTCTAATTCTGTCTGGGTGATATAAAGTGGAGATATTTTCCTTAAAGCTATAATGCTTATTATGAGTGATTTGGTGTGTGTTCCTTTAAATCTAACAGGCTGGTATGTCAGTCAAATGAGTTCATGTATATGCCCCAAATTTGTGAATTGGCATTAGAGATACAGAAGTGACGATTCTTTTTCTC